GATTTTAGGATTATTTGAAACAACTCCTAATACATGTACATAGGAATAAATGCACAAGTGACTTCAAAGCATATTCTTCATCCAGATTTTCCTTGTTCCTGATAAAACAACATTAATGTAACTATTCATAGACAACACACTGAAGCACTAAAGTTGATATATAACTAAAATGGACCATTTTCCCCCACAAGCAAAATATCCAAGAACATGTATTGTACCATGCAAGTGCATCTATTTTTGAAAGAGGGCTTTTCTTAATATAACTACTCACTTTCTTGCTTCATTACAAAAATTCATTAAAAGGACTGCATTTTTATGGCTGTATTATTTGTGTACCTACTGGTAATAACAATATGCATTGGTTAATAGTATTTGCTTCACTACTATATATATCTTTTGTATTTTCATGAAAATTATGTCAGAAAACAACCTTGACCTTGCAGCATTGTTTGGAATTCCACAACAGAAATTGTCATGTTTCTGACTTACATTATTAAATATTTAGGCTAAATCTCTGATCACATAATATTTAAATTTTGATTTCATTAGATTACGGTATATATTTTCTTGAATCTGTTTGCCCAGTCACTTATGAATACTGACAATTTAATTAAGTGGTATATTATATATGAAGTGATGTCTGCCAATACAAGTTCATTTATGGTTCTAAACTAATTTTATAAAGAAAATATGCAAATACAGCCATTAAAATCTCCATTTATAAAAATGGAAATTGAAAACACTCTTCACCGATCACATTAAAAGTAAATTACTATTTGCATATTGATGTTTAAATTTGAAAACAGAATTTGGTATATTTTCATCATAGTAGCATACAGTAGGTCCAACTTCATGAAATCAAGCAGTGATATCTTGCTCTGGAAAGGGTTAATGGTCAGTTAGCTATAAAATCTTGCATGTGAATGTGTAAGAATTTCTTTGTTGCCATAAGCTGATTGGTATCAGCACCATGTAAATGCATTGCACCTTGGGTTAAGTTCTGGCTTACAACATGGGGTCATCTCAAAATGTCATAATCTACAACCATATTACATCCAAAAAATCTGAGGGCAAAGTCATTTTCGCTTTCCCAACAAAAGAAGGTGACCTTTTTTGCCCACTTTGCCTGGTAGCATGACCCATATATATATATATATATATATATATATATATATATATATATATATATATATATATATATATATATATATATATATATATATATATACACATATACATATATATAATGTTGAGCTTGCCGAAGGATGAATCTATCCTCCATAGTTTGCTGGAAGCATCGGCAAAAACTTACAGACATGTGGTTGCCTTGTGAGTGGAGCTTCTCCACCTCCACAGAGACACTGCACTCTTTGGAAGGATCATCCTCTCTCTGACTACTCAGAATATTTGGGAGAACATCAAATACTAGTCCATTCCTTTCATTTCAGGCTCTTTGAAATGAGTCAAGAAGTGGTATAATCCTGACCACTCTCAGGGCACAATGACTAAATTCTTCAAAGCTGTGCTGCCTCGATGAAAGTAACAATGCCATTTCAGAGCTCCCCATTGGCAGGTGGGTTCTAGAAGAATGCGTCCACAAAGGCCTAGTGAAGTTCAGAGGGCTCAGCCATCCAACTTTCCAAAGGACTGGAGTGGATAAACCTAGGGATACTCTCTCTCTATACTGACCATACATTTCCATTTGGTTCCTGTTGGCACCTGACTAATCCTCATTTTGCAGACTTGGTCAAGCATAATGGTTGATGGTTGGGTCCTTTCTATCATAATAAATGGTTATCAACATCAGTTCCAGGATGTCCCTCATCTAGTAAGGTCACCCATTTACTTCTGCCAGTTAACTCTGGTCCAGTTAAAGAAAGAGATCCAATCCCTTCTTTGGAAGGGTGCAAAGAGAGTTAAATGATAAATCTCTAGCTTCCTATTTCTAGATTATCCTTATTTCCAAAAAAGTTGGGAAAGTCTTGTCTAGTTATCCACCTTTCCTCCCTCCTCAGATTTCTGCTGGAAGAAACATTTAAGATAGTGAACATAACCTCATTCATTAATGTCATAAGACTTGATGATTGGGCAGTCTCTATCAATCTTCAGGATGCATACCTTCATATTTTTATATTTCTTCCATGCTGGAAGTACCTCAGATTTTGTAAGAATGGGGAGGTATTCCAATTCTAAGCTCTGCTGTTCAACCTAACCTCATCAATCTGATATTTTACCAGGGCCATGGGAGTAGTTGCAGCCCATTTAAGGTCATTTGGTATCTCACTCATCCAGTATTGTGATGATTGATCCACAATGGCTTTCTAGAGTTGGTCAGACTAAATCTGTCTTGCTACTGGTCCACTATGGTCTTCTAACAAACTTGAAGAAAACAGCTAAATCCAACTCATTATTTTGTCTATAGGAGATGAAATTTTTTTACAGATAGAAGGGGATGTAGTCTGTGTCCCTATGAACAGAGCAGACATGATCCTACCCCAGTTGGAAAAGCTGTCATCACATCTATTACTCTCTCTGCTGGAGATCTTGAATACCACAGCTTACATGTTTCACCTTGGCAGACTTCACTTGCATCCACTCTGTCAAGGAAAGGGAAGATAGTTCTTATGGAATGGTCACTCCACCAATCTCTGGTAGACTGACTGTTTCAGCTTTGGGAAACTCCCAAGCTAGTCTTATTTGCCACCAAGCTGAACATGCCCCCCCCCTTTTATGTTCACCCAGTCCCCGACCAGAAAGCCTGGTCAATGGACTCCTTCAGCCTGAAGTGGGATCATCTGTTTGCTTATGCCTTCCCTCCCTTCAAAATGATCCTACAGTTCTTACACAAAGTCGGACACCATTAGCTCAGCTTATTTTGATTCTCTCATAGTGGTCCCAGCAATTTTGGTTCAATAATCTTCTCATTCTGCTGGTGGACCATCCTAGGACTTTCTTCAGTGGAGGGACCTTATGTCACAGCACAAGAGCTGTCTTTTAAACAACAGCCAATATATTCTACATCTCCACCTTCAAATAATTTTAGCAAAGAAAGGTTTTTGATCCAAGCTGCCAAGTGTGTTATTCAGTCCAGAAGATCAACCTCTAAAGCAGTGGTTATCAAACTTTTTGAAGCTGTGGACCCCATAGCATGTAATGGTCAGATGACGGACCCCTGTCAGCCTTTCCAATAAATTTGGGCAATCGACATTATTATTATTTTATGTAATCTTACATTATTTTATGTAATCCATGTAAGACATCAGTAACTAATAACCATAGAATCTAACAGAGTCAGTACAAAATAGACAGCTCAGTACTCGATTGTTTTATAATTGTTGATGATAATGAAAAGTTTGCAAATGTTCTATTTTTATTCTTTTTTAAGGACCTGCTTGCGGACCACTTGGCAACATGTAACTGACCCCAAGGGGTCTGCATACTGCAGTTTGAAACCTCCTGCTCTAAAGTATATGATGTCAAATAGAGTATCTTGTGATTGGTATAGTAGAACATGTGCTTGTCATAGCTGTTATATGTGTATGATTTTCTTTTCTGTCTTTTTGAATAGTGCTTGGTTTCTATTATTAATGGCTATTGAGCAGCTCTTTCTTAAACAACCTTTCTTGTATCTTGTGGTCTCTAAATAGCCCCCTCCCTTTAGGAGCAACTTCCTTTGAGAACCTTCCCCATAAGATCGTTTTTGTGCCCACCATTCTGTTTTTCTTCACCTTTGCTGGAATTTTCAGATCTCTCAACAAACTGACAAAGTCAGCTATGCAATAGCAATAGGTATGGTATTACTGACATTAAAATGTCGGGGGGGGTTGTGGTGGTAAAATTAATTTTATTGATGTAATACTTACCAGTTGTTATTGCAAGATTCTGTTCTCCCACCCAGCACTGATACCCTGCTGTCTTGGGTTGCTCCTTCAGAAGAATGAAGAGGGCCATTATGCATAGTCAGGTAGTGTAATGTCTTCCAGGGATGATCCAATGATTCTTTTTCACCCTAATGAGATGATGGAATTTTTGTCATTCAGTTTTTTTTTTCCAGAAAATTGCTAGCTATGCAGTGGCAACAGGTAAGTATTATACAATTAAAATTAATAATTAGTTTTACCTTCCTCCCAGACAAAAATCCCTACATTTTGTGATGACCTAAAGATGTGCATCTTGACCTGCACTCGGGTGATCTGGTACTATCAAGTGGGATAAATATCTTAAAAACATGTTCAGATCTTAAAAGTGATAACAGTTACTGCAGATATAACAAGCAGGTAAACTCAAAAACCAAGATGAAGTCAAACAGAAAGTGAAACTTATGATGAAGTATTAAATTCCACAATAGGATGATTAAAATAAATGAAGAAAGACATTACAACACCCAAAAGAAATTGCTTGAAAGCTGAAACATCACAAAGACTGATGACCATAATGTTGAATGGACATAAAATTTTAGACTTTTAATTCTCCCACACTGTTAAAAAATGGTTGGAAGCATAAAATGGGAGAATCATACAAGAGAGATGATTATTTATTTGGGTTTTCTTGCAAATAACATGTCAAATATGCTATGTAAAAGATGTTCATTTTATTATGTGGTTGTCCCATTATGATTACACTTCTGTCCCTCCTTATCAAATGAAGGTGCCAGTTCGCTCCATTTTTGTCCAACCTTGCTGAAACACCACATGGAAAAATGTAATTTATTGTAATGATTACCATACAAATTTTGAAAAGGTTTTGAGTTATGATTTGATGTGATGTGATGTTGATTTTTAACATAGCTTTAACAATTTTTCAGTCATATTGCTACGATGTATGCAGTGTGGAAGTTTATAGTGATGTCTAGCACTGGGGAATCATGCCGCAGACGTGTAGCATGATGTCCCATCCAGTCACATTATCCTGACACCAGGCTGACCAGTCCTAACACTAACCTCTTAATGCTGAGCGTCAAGCAAGGCAACTGTTAGCTCCATTTTTGCAAGTCTTTGGTATGACTCGACTGGGGATCGAACCCACGACATCCCGCATTTGAGGTGGACGCTCTAACCACTATGCCAATGGAGCAGTTGGTTTTGAGTTTGTTTTCAATAGTCATTGTGATGAATAGTTGTTGAAAATAATGATTCAGATAATATTAAATTAACAGTTGATAGTTTACAAAAAGATAGGTGCAGTTTATTTCAAAATCCAATCACAGTAACTACAGCTTATGAATGCACATTTCCGGTTATTGCTGCATGAAGGTACTTGTTTAAACATGGTTATTGGTCAGGAAATTTATAGACAATAATTGTCTACAATTCATTATTGGAAAATATTTCTAGAAAAAGATGCATTGATGAACTTAATAACAGACAGTGTGTATGAACAGGAACAGTATATCTGCTGGTTGCAGTTATGAAAGAGAGGGAGGTCATGTCATTTCAACTTAAAATTTGATTTCAACTGTAGTATTTTGAAAGAGAAACAGAATTCAGATGTCACTGCTATACTGACCAGACAAAATTTGTACACTTCCACAATTTCACCACATGAGAATTTCAACTTTTTAATTTGATTTCAACTGTGGTATCTTGTATTAATGACTAAAGTAGTGATCTTTTTTTTATAAACAAAATACACAGATGGTTTTAAAAAGTAATCCTAGAGAAGTCTACATGTAGGATGTAAAACATGAATGCTCATGCATGAACTAAAAATCTACATCAAAACAGCAGCTCCCCCACAGGTTTGCAGTCTTTTCCACTGAAGTATAAATTTCTCCAGGGTGGTGACAATAAACATTAAACACCATGTTAGGTGAACAGTGTTTATGTTATTAGTTGAATCCATTAACTATTAACCACTTCAACAATTGACTGATGTAAAGGAAAAAATATCAATGACAGAATTATAGTCTGATAAATAATTTGATTGTCCTAAATTTGTTCACTCTAATAATCTAGCCACAAATACTATTTAAAAATATTGATACAGATCTGCAATCGTAAACAATCGTACAATATCACACAAATAAATTGAAATCAGTAATTGACTTAGAAAATTGTGATGGATTTCCGGCTTGTCAGAGAAGACATTCTACTTCAGTAACTTATCTTTTATTCAATACTTCATCAATAAAGAATGGGTTCTTTTTATTTCTTTTAAGCATATGAACTCCATGGACATGAGTGCCTGCAAATAGGGGCAAGGGGTAGGAGTGTTTGACCCCACCCCACCACTACCCTGATTTCACCTAACATGTTTTGGGTCACAGCCATATCAAACCCTGCATGAAAGTTGCCTAACGGATGAGTTGCCAAATCTTCCATTCTGTCAGTTATTGTTTATTCAACATTCCATTGGGCTGCTAACCATTCACCATTCCAATGGACTGCTAACCAGCTGTTCCCCAGGCAAAGCATTATCCATTACCAGTATCTATTGTGAAAAGGTTTATCTGAGAGTATGCCTTTGCTGCCCAAATATGTATGCATTTGGACAATTTGCATGTCTAAACTCGGGTTTAATTTTTGTTATTATTCATTCAGTGTTTGAAAGTGTCACCATCAATCAAAATTATAATTCTGACAAAGTAATAAAATTTTCAACAAAAAAAATGTCAATGTAACAGAAAATTCTATGTTGATGAGTTTGCATGGTTAACTTAGTTGTAAAGATTTATAAATCATCATGGTTGACTAACTTTTGTATGTACAATTGTTCATTTATCACACCCATATTTTCTTAGATCCTGTTTCACCTATATTTGTGAAAATTGGTATGTCATTGTATATTAAGGAAAGTAACTCATTTGAACCAAAAGCAGATAACTGCTATAATTTTCAGTCTTAGCAATATTTTATTTTCCCTCCATACAAGTTTATATATTGTCTGCTACAAAAAATATGTTTCTGCAAAGAGATTTTTGTTAGAGTAAACCTTGTATATGTATACTGTATTGTTGATCATCGCCACATATATATGTGTAGCTGTATAATTTTGTCATTTTTTGCTTTTTCTTTCATAGAAACATGGATTCGTTCAATTCAGAAATTTCTCATCTTACACAATCACAAGATGGATCTTCATCTTTATTTGGACCCATAGAACGCCAAGCAACCCACCCACCCAGAAACCAGGGTGACTTGATCCAACCAATGAGAGAAAACATTGAGAAGAATTTATTTATGCCATTGAACTTGAGAAGAGAGCAGCAACAAAATAAACAGATTTTGGAAACCAATGAAGGAAAGAGAACGAAGAAAAACCCAGTGATAGAAACAAGGACACAACCATTTCATATGCTTCAGTATGAGAAAAACATTGTTTTGATGATGAACAAAAAGTATTGTTGCTCTTGTAATGCATTACTAAGAATACTGCAAGTGGTAAGATTTCAATTTTTTCTTTCTTTGTTTTCTTTCTTTGTTGTTGCATCAAAATGAAAGTTGCCATACAAAACTGAAACGAGTTGCTTTTGATATTGGAATATCATCAAGGTTGTATATTTATTTTCATTAGGCTTGGGCAATAGGCAGTGCCTTTGCTCATAATTTTATTTTTAATAACAACCGGTGATCACAATATATAAAAATAAATTCACTTAACTGTGTACAGTTGCAGATATGTTCTGTATATACCTGCCATATTCCCAGACTGTTGGGAGTTTTGGAAACTCAGAAAAAATTTTTAGGTCCCCAGGGGAATCAGCATGCATGACAAAAATGTTTTTTACATAAGCAGATAGAAAATTACTGGAAATTAAAATTTGATGAAAAAAGAAACTAAATCCTATTTTCTTTGAAAAATGATATTACATGCAATTGGCTGAGTATTATACGAATCAAGGTATGGTATTTTGATTCTATGGTCTGTTTTTGTCAGACTTGGGAAATATGCTGATATCAAGTATTGTACTGGATTTATGAGCAAGACCCGTACATGATAGGTGATCATGTCTGAGTAGCTGAGTTTCTTTACCACTCTAGAAACTTTATTTTATAGATTTTATCAGACTTCATTATTAAGTTTATATTATCAAGATGTCATCATGCCAGTATCGTTGGATTATGAATGAGGCTTTTATTGATGTGATCTTGTGTCTTATCAGCAGAGTTTGTCAACAGCAGCTATATTTATGATCAGTTTTGATCAGACATCAATATTGTGTTATCATCCAGATGATCAATGAATTTGAATATGAGCAAGATATATGGTTATTTGTGTAATAGTCTTGTAACTGAATGACTCAGTTTGTTACCACTCTGGAGATTGAATTTTAATTGGATTTTCTCCAGTTTGGTAAATAGCCTTGTTGTATAACTATCATAGGTTGTGTAATACGTGAGATCTGCTTATATTAATGAGATGATCTTGCATCGTATCGGATGAACTAGAGCTATAGTATATATATTTCACCTCCAGTTTCAATAAAATTTGTTAAAAAGATAATTAAGACCTTGGATATGTATATTAATTATTGCTTGATCTTTTTGGAACATATTTAAAAAAGACTGCAGTAAAAGAAGTAGTTTAAAAATTGGCATAATATAAAGTTTAGGAGATAGTTTACATACAATTGTGTTTTTACAAATCGTCATATATATAAGCCTGTTAACTTTTAAGGTATGTAAACAATTAGGCTCTTTTGCCTGTTGTGTTTATGGAATTTCATCAGACTTGGTAAAAATGATAGTTGTCATCAAAATATGCTCCAGCAATTTTTGTTTACTTATGTGCATTTTTTTCTTGTTGCTTAGTACATTGTATGGTACAGTCTTTTTATTAACTTAATTAGTCTTGCATATTTTAGATTGATTGCACATACACTTGGTAACTATTAAAGTAATCACTTGATATAATCTTATTTTTAAAAAAAATCACTTTATTTTTATTTGACTTATTGACCTTTTGTTTTGTAGCTTAATGTGGTATATGACAGTCTGGTTAGCACTAGTTCTTACAGTTTTCTTGCAGTTTTTTTTATGGATCGCTGTGAAACTGGTATGTCAAGATGTATTATGTATTATGTATTATCATCCAAAGATGCACATTGTGGTGAATGCTCCAGTGATTTTTGTTAGAATTATTGCTTGATAGATGCAGTGAATTCTAAACAGAATTTTATGACTACTGTTAACAGTTTTTAGTGGATTACTGTGAAAATGGATAAATAATTATTATAGCCATAAACAAAAGATATGCTTGTTGACAAATCATTATATTTACAAGTATGAGACATTATGTAAGAACAAATGTCTTAATCAAATTAGAGATGAATATGGAAAAGGTTGTTTGGTTTATTGAATTTTTACAGCTGCTTCAGCACTTTATTTCATACTGAGAAAATGAGAGCTAAGTAAAATTCTCAAAGACATGCTGAGGTGGACAACCTTGCAGCTCTCCCAATATGAAAAAGAGAAGAATATGCATATTTTAATGTGAATTTGTTTCATATCCAGTAAGATTTATCAAAGCCTTATTTATTTATTGCTTGATTTATCTCCAACAGAAATATATAGCTAATATACAGTTAAGACTTCTAAAACAAAAGAAGTGTTGGGTCCCAAGGGATTTCAGTTTTAAGGGATCTTGCTGTATATATAACTGTTTAATCTAGGAATTATTCTATGATGCGATGAATAAGTTCTGTACATTATATGGTGGCTGCATATTATTGTAATTCTAATATTTATTAGTTCATCAAAATGTGTATACAGTTTGGACCACTTTATTAAATCAAATTACATGTATCAATGAATTTTCTTCCATTATCTGTTCCAGATTCTTTCCCTGGTCACCTTTATTTGCCTTGTCACATCTGGTCGTAGAGAGGGAGGTTTATTATTACTTCCTTTGGCATGGCACTTTCGTGTCATGATCTTTGTCCTGCTGTTGACATCACTTACAAGCCTCTTGGTATGGATCTTCAATGTGACAGGGCTAATACTTCTGTTTCCTTTCAATTGGTACCTAATAGTGAGTATTCAACTGGTACCTATTAGTGAGTATTCATTCTTTTACCTTTTTATGAATATTCATTTGGCGTTAAATAGTGAATATTCAGCTGGTACCTAAAAGTGA